ACCTCCTCAGATGACGATCACAACAGATGCATCTCCAGGCAGCTGGGGTGCTCACCTCAATGGTCTATGTGTGGGCAACAGGTGGGAACAGCAGTTTCTGCATTACCATATCAATTACCTGGAACTGTTGGCTGTAAAATTTGCTCTTCAGTATTTCCAACCACTCGTTCAGGGAACTTCTATAGCAGTTCTCACCGACAACACCACTGCTTTGAGTTACATCAATCATCAGGATGGTAGTGTGTCTCATCAACTTTGCCATCTTGCTGTCGACCTTTGGGACTGGTGCATAACACACGGGATTCACCTCTCTGCAGCCCATATCCCTGGAGTTCTAAATGACAAGGCCGATCAACTCAGCAGGAGGGAAGCATCTCTCCACAAGTGGGAACCGAATTGGTGTTACTTGGAACCTCTGTTTCTTTGCTGGGGCCACCCATCAGTGGATGTATTTGCCTCCAGACTGAACAAGAAACGCCAGTTTTTCTGCTGTCGGGGTGGGGGGATCAGATCCTCAATCCCTAGGCAATGGCCTACTCTACCACTGGAACCGCAACTTCCTTATACCTATTCCCCCCCCTTCCACTTCTCATAAAAGTGATTCACAGAATTATTCGAGAAGAAGCAAACTGCATCCTAATCACACCTTGGTGGCCGAGACAGATTTGGTTCCCTTTTCTGCTCCATCTTATGAGCGACCGTCCCCACTTATTCCCGCCGGCTCCTGACCTTCTGCTTGCGTCCGATGGCCGTGTACATTACAACAACGTTCCTCAGTTAAAATTGACAGCCTGGAAGATAAACCCCCTGTATTCTCTCTCTCTCTCTCTCTCTCTCTTTTTGCCTTTGTCTTTCTTTCTTTCTTTTTTAAAATACCCGAAGGTACACTTTTATTATTTTTTCTTTTCATTATACACTACAAACATACATGAAAACAAACAACATATAACTACCACTAACAAACATAGAACATAATAAACCCCCTGTATTCTCTCTCTCTCTCTCTCTCTCTCTCTTTGCCTTTGTCTTTCTTTCTTTCTTTTTTAAAATACCCGAAGGTACACTTTTATTATTTTTTCTTTTCATTATACACTACAAACATACATGAAAACAAACAACATATAACTACCACTAACAAACATAGAACATATAACAGGAAGCTTATTCCATATTCTATTCTTCAATTATCTATTTGTTACATTTCTAATCTCATTGTCTATTTTACTAGCTTTATCTTTTCTGCGTTCTCAAATTTCCATCAAGTTATTATGCTTATATTATACCAGTCATAAAATCTCTTCCAAGTCTTTCCAAGTCCATTCTGTTCCAGCTCTCATCTCCAATGTCAATTTGTCATTCTCAGCCGTTTCAAACAGCTTATTCACATATTCTTGTTTCGTTGGAATCTCCATTGTTTTCCAATATTTAGCATATAAAATCCTTGCAGCTGTTGACAAGTGAACAATCAAATACCTATCTACTTTATCAAAGTCTTTCGGAAATATATTCAGTAACAATATCTCTGGAGTAAATGGGACCTTGGTTATTATTTTTAGCATTATTTCATGTACCCATCTCCAAAACCTTTTTGTAACATTACATAGCCACCACATATGATAAAATGAACCAGTCTTATTCTTACATTTCCAACATTTATCTGAGGAATTAGCGTTTTGTTTAGCTAGTCTATCTGGTATAATATACCATCTATAAAACATCTTATACATATTCTCTTTATATGATACAGCATTAGTCAATTTAATGTTTTTCAACCAAATCTGCTCCCACTCCTCTCAGTTAATATTATGTCCAATGTTCTGGGCCCATGCAATCATATTTTTTTTCACCATTTCATCTGTCATCACATCATCTAATAAAATCTTATATAATTTCTTTATCACTTTATTTTCTGCTGTTAATATAGTTTCTTCCAACTCAGTTGTTTTATTATTAAATCCTAGCGTCTTGTCCTTTAAATATATCGATTCCAATTGTGCTTTCTTCCACCAGGATAGCTGTTCTGGTAATTTAAGGTTATCTTTTTTGTCCAAAATGTCCTGGTATCTTAACGGTTCTTCTCCTGCGTAAACGTTTGGTAAAGTAAATGCCTCTAAAGGTATTATTAATCTCGATCTTTTGGTATAAAAGTTTTTGTGTATAGAGTCCCAGACCTTTAGTAGTGCTGCTCTCAGCCAATGCTGCTTGAAGTATTTTTGTGAGCCTGCTTTTTCATACCACAAAAAAGCATTCCATCCTAACAGTAGATCATGGCCTTCAATTTTCAAAAATCTCTTATCTTCTAGTGTAATCCATTCTTCGATCCATACCAGGGCTGCTGCTCTATAATACAGCAGCCAATTCGGGACACCAAATCCTTCCCTTTCCTTTGTATCATGTAGTATTTTCAATCTTATTCTTGCCCTTTTCCCTTGCCATATAAATTTAGATGTTAATTGATCTAAGTCTTTGAACAAATTTCGGTTTCGCAATATCGGGATAGTAACCCACTGTATTCTCTAGCCGCATCTCAGAAGTACTGATAAATTGTTGTAAGCCATCCACTAGGAAATCTTATTCCTGCAAATGGCGAAAGTTTGTCTCGTTCCTTGGTTCTTCCCATCCTATACCTCACTCAGTTGGTCTAAGTAGAGTATTTGACTTTGTTTTGTCTTTGGCTGACGCTGTTCTGTCTCACTCCCCCTTGCGAGTTTACTTAGCAGCTATTTCAGCCCACCATGTTTGTGTAGACGGTTATATGGTTTTTTCTTATCCTGATACTAAGCGCTTCATAAGGGGCCTTCTCCATCTTTATGCTCCTATTAAAGTTCCTGTTCAGCTTTGGGAACCTTCCTTTGGTACTCCGACATCTCACTAGAAACCCCTTTGAGCCTCTGGCTACTTGTGACCTCAAGTTAGCCTCCTGGAAAACAACATTTTTGGTGGCTATCACCTCAGCCAGAAGAGTGAGTGAACTCCGTGCTCTTAGGCATGATCCGCCATATCTCCAGTTCTTGCCTAATTGAGTTCAACTTGTGCTGGATATTTCCTTTCTCCCGAAAGTTGTCTCGGAATTCCATCTTCACTCTGAGATCTTCCTACCAGATTTCTTCCCTCCTCTAACCTACGGTAGAGCATTGCCTTCTTCACTCTTTGGATGTTAAGCGGATGTTATTTTTTTACCTGAATCAGACTAGTGGCACGCGTAAGGACTCACACCTTTTTGTGTCATATGCTGAAAGCAAAGTAGGGACGAAGATTACTGCTCAAAGACTTTCTAAATGGATTGTGGACACTATTTGCCTCTGCTACTTACTTGCGAAGTGCCCTCTTCCTGGGCCTTTCTATGCTAATTCTACATGGTCATTGGCGAATTCCACGGCTTTCCTGAAAGGTGTTCCACTATCTGACATTTGCAATGCTGCTACTTGGGTGGCTCTTAACACGTTCATCAGGCACTATGCCCTAGACGTTCGGGCGCAACAGCAATCTTCAATGGGATGCCTGATCTTGTCTTCAGCACAGTAATCGCCTGCCAACACCCACCTCCAAGTGAGCCACTGCTTGCTATTATCCCATAGGTGTGATGCACAGAGACCACGAAGAAGATACCTGTAACTGATTATCTTCGAGTGGTCATCTGTGCAGTCACACCACCCGCCCTTCCTTCTCCACTGCTGTCAGCTCTTATGTTTCTTCTTTCTTGGTGGCACAGTGGTCAGAAGGAACTGGCGGGATCTCCACCCCTCGCCCCTTGGGCATACGTGGTGGGGTTCCTGCGCATGCCAAGGAGCAAGGGCGTGAAAATCCTTTTCAGCTCTGGTAAACCACCAATGAGATCAGCGCAGGCGCACTGGATCCCATAGGTGTGACTACACAGATGACCACTTGAAGATCATCAGTTACAGGTAAGCAACCTGTTTTTCTTGCCAGTGCTATTCAGATTGCTGTAAAATTGTAAACTGTAAATTCTGTTGAAAGAGCCTGGTCTTTATGGAGCCATTCCTCCTCCCACAGGTTATTTCTGAAGGTGTTCTTTCTGCAGTGGTACCAAATGCAGGGGGAATCCTGAAGATGCACCAAATGGTCTAAGTTTTTCTGGATACCAGCCAGTGTGGTACAATTCACCACACAAGTTGGAGCTAATGGAAAGTGTTTCTGGTCCTACTTTGTATAAACCCAGATTCAGATTTCCAAGGCAATATCCTGAATTTAGTCCTTTCCTCTATCTGTTGTGCTGTTATTTCTGACAGTAATTGGGAATGGACAATGTGTGCCTATAAGTGCCTTCTGATTGTGCTTCCATCTCACAATCTCTGCTCCATCATGGCCTGTATATGTGCCAGCCAAATTGGCTTCCATACATTGGCACAATGGATGCATTCTAGCTAAAATTAAAGTGGAATCAAAAACTTTGAAATCAATCTTCACCTCCCTTCTGGATTATTTTCTTTAAAATGCTTAGAGTGGACTGTTTAAAACCATAGAATAAACATTTTTGTTGAAGCTAGTATTCTAGTCTTCTGTAGTGAACCAAGTTTTCCTTTTTGTGTATTGTTGCCATTTTGTTGCCTCTCTTCATTTCTCCTCAGATTGTGGCACTAGGCTATTTTTCAGTTTGTTGGCCTAGCCTGAGCCAGTATAAAGGTTAAAGAGCTTGTAAAGAAAGGGGGGGAAATGGGAAAGAAGCAGACTGGTGGCTCTGAAGTTTTAAAACCCTCTGGTTTGTCTTTCACAAATCTTTTTCTGCTGCTTTATTTCTAACATCTCTGAATGTACTTAATTGTTTTCTTGTGACCAGAAAAATAAATATAACCTATTAATATGTACAACAGAGGTCAGCATAGAATTACACTTTTGAAAGCTATGTTTTCCCCCTTAAGTGGTCGGGATGTTTAATAAAATGTTCTGACCTGGTCCTAATGATAGATATTGCTTTCTGTCTATTTCTGTTTTAGAGCTTAATGTAACCTTGGTTTAATGTTCCATCTCTCTCTTCACAGAAATGGAGCAGTGTAAGCAATCCACTCTTTCTTCCGCTGATTCCACCTCAGTCACAAGGCTTCACTGCTATTGTTCTGACCTACGATCGTGTTGAGAGCCTGTTCAGAGTAATCACTGAAGTATCGAAGGTGCCTAGCCTTTCCAAACTGTTAGTGGTTTGGAACAACCAAAATAAAATTCCCCCAGAAGGTAAGTCATATAAAGCCCTTAATATTTTGGACTGTATGTACTTTGGACACCATTCTCTCTCCTTTGGTAGTCTCACCGTCTTAAAGATTAATAAAAAATTCCATTTTGAGTTTATTTTCATTTCATTTTCCAAATTTGAATAGCAAGGCAATCTCTGTGGCACCCTGGTCTCCTAAGATGTCCATCAAAGTCTAAGTCAGCAAAAGCTTTAGGACATCTATGCTTGGGCTGTCATGATGTAAAATAATTGTATGTTCCTCTCTAAATTGTTGGCATAACTGTCTTGAGCCTTGGTATGAGGAAAGATGGGAATTCAAACAAATACAATAGGCTTGGCTAAAGACACATGTATTAATTCTGTGTTTCATGACAAGATTTTTTCTTGTTTCGTTTAACATGTGCAGCTTTCATTATCAGATTATCAGAATCACAAGCTAGGTCACTTACTTGGCAAGCTGTGAATTAGTCCTACAAAAGAAAAATATGCACAAAATAAAATATTGGATGTTGGTCTTTGAGCCATTAACTCCAAAGCAACCACATGCATGTTTGCAGCAGTTTTTCTTCCCTACCAGAAATACTGGCCAATCGTTTAGTAGTTAGGTTTCATTTCATGAGCTGTTCTGATGTCAGAACTCATTTATTTTCATTAAGATAGCAAAAACTTCCTGAAAATTTACAGTTAAAGAAATTGTCCCTTTCCATGAAGTTAAATAATCATACCTTTAAACTATGTCATTTGTTTTCTGCTTGGGTCCCTGAGTGTTATCTGAAATTTCCTTCAAAAAATTTACATGTTAATGTACCAGTCAGAAGAAGATCTTATTGGAACCTTAGTGAATTTTACAGTCTTGTTCTGAATTGACAGAATTTACAAATTAACTTACATACATAGCTTACATACATAACATACAATACATAGCTTCTGTAATATAAATTTATACATTGTATTCATTTAAAAGCCTTGTTTCTCTGTCTGTTACTTGACATTTTCTGAAATCTATTGGCACTTCCTTAAGTAATAAGTATTAAATCCATTGTCCTCTCCACTTTACATTCTGCATGAGGATACTGAATGCAAATTAGAGAGGATGATGGATTTACCAAAGCAGTTCTAAGCAGGGTTTATAGTCCAGGGGTGGCCAAACTTGCTTGACATAAGAGCCACATAGAATAAACATCAGATGTTTTGAGAGCCGCAAGACATGAACGAATATTACACATTTTTACTGGTAATTTTGCAAATTTGCTTTTTATTAACATTAAATGAGACTGCCAAAAATAATAACAAAAGTAGTAAAAGCAGATATTGATAATATATTTATTTGTCCAATTATATTTGTTTGCTAATGATATTTAGCTTCGCCAGCCGCCCTGCCGGGAGCTGCACAATACACCCCTGGTTTATACTCTTTCAACTCTTTTGATTTCAGTGGGCTTAGAACAGTGTAATTCTGGTTAGGCTTTCCCTGTAACATTAGTTAATCTCTGTATGGTCAGTTGTGATTTATAACTAGCTTTGTCTCAAAGATTTGATGGTAGGATATTTCAAACAGCCTGGGAAATCGGTCATTCTAAGTGCATGAAGATGTTCGGCAAATTAATAGCAATATCCCACTTTGGCTTGTATATACATGAACAACCAAGACAAATTCAAGCTTGAGGGGGTTGGGCAAGAATAGTAGTTCATCTTCCATCTTCATATTGGGGAATGCGCTTGCACAAGCCAGCCCTGTGGATAGGAGTTTTAGCTTCCCTAGGATCCGAGGGGGACGTCCCACCCCTCTAGAGCAGACACAGTGGCTTTTTCCTGCTCAAACCACCACATGCTACAGAGGCACTCCCCCCCCTCCCAAGTTCCTCTTTTGCCACTGCTGCAATAGGAGCTCCCTGGCTTTGGTGCATCTTAGAGGTTCTTCTTTGGTCCTTAACATCGATTTCCCCCCCCCCCTGTGTTTTTCGAGCAAGTTAACCATCAGCATTGTTCTCTGGCTGAGTTTCAGGCTTTTCTTTGACTTCAACATCTATTTTTGGCACTTCCTTTCGGGCAAGGTAGCTTTTGCTGACCTACCTGCCACACACACATTCTTTCCTGACCACCGGCCTGTTTGCTGGGGCTATTCCTCGCTCCATCCTAGAGGGCATGTCTGTAAAAGCCCTATTCAAAAAATGCACTCAGTGTGCTACCAAAATGATGCACAACGATGAACATAGCCTGTGCTTAATATGTCTGGGGGAAACCCACAACGTTGGGGCCTGTAAAATCAGCCAGAGGTTCACTCTGAAGGCAAGGTCAGTCAGAGCCTTTCACTTACAGCTGTGCTTTGGGACCGGGTTTGATTCCCAACTCCTCACTTGGAACTGCTGGATGACCTTGGGCAAGCCATAGTTCTGTCAGAGCTGTTCTTGACAGAGCAGTTCTTGAAAGAGTTCTCTCAGCCCCACCTACCTGATAGGGTGGAGAGGGGAAGGGAAAGGAGTTTGTAAGTTGCTCTGAGACTCCGAGCGAAGGGCGGGGTATAAATCCAATATCTTCTTCCTTCAAAATCAGCCCTCTCTAGCCAGCAGAGACCGACCTCTACCTAATCAGTTCCGATGGTTGCAACCTCTGATCCGCCCTCAAGGCCTCTGTCAATTTGGTTGGTTCCGGTAACCTCCAGTAGCAGTGGACAACATTCCATCCTTAGTTCTTCAGCTCCACCAGTTCCAGCCTCAGACTGGAAGCAGTGTTTGCCATCACCCTCCTGTTCCTGTTCCATTCTGGGAAATGAGGCATTGGAACCACCTGCCAAAAAATCGAAACAGAAGACAAAACACAAGGAAAGTATGAAAATCTCTTTGAGGAAGCAGAAGCACTTGTCGCCCCTGGTTCCGAAGCCTTCTGACGATGTGATCCTAGTCTCACCACGCTCTCCACTGCGTTCCAAGTCTCCCGACAGATCACTGTCTGAACCTGAGCTAGACCAGGCCTGCCAGATAGTACAGGAGCATCATCTGGCTCCTAAGCTGCCAGACTTATGCCTTGGCCACAGACCTACCCGCCGTAGCCACCCCTTTTATATGTCTCCTGCCTGCCTGCAGGAGTAGTTGGATTTCTATGGTCAGAGAACTATCTCTGAGCCTCCTCCCCAGGGACATATTCAGCCCCTGCCTGATCCCAGGGACATGATTGGCAGTTCCCTACTTCCACTGTACCCTCCGCCGCAGAGTCAGAACTGGACGAAGAGGAGCCTGGGGCTGCATATTATAGTTCTGAGGGACATTTAGTACCCTTGCTGGATGACAGGGTTGGGGATCCTACCTCAATTTTCCTGAATGAAGACCTCCGCCTCTATGAGGAACAGATGCTAAGAATGGGTAAGACCTTAGACATTGTTGCCTTAACTACCAACAACAAACAAAAGGATAAAATCCTTAGCTGTCTTTATCTGGATTCTCCCAGAATTGTGGCCTTCCCTATTCTAGAGGGATTAACTGATCTTATGACCCCCATCTGGCAGAAGCCACCTCCATTCCCGCAACTTCCCAAAAGGTGGAGAACCTTTACAAGGTAAAGCAGGACATCTTAATTTTTTTACCACTCATTCCCCTCCCCCCTCCTCCATAGTTATGCAATCCAGACAAAGGCATGAACAGCCTTCTATACTGTCAAACAGGGAAAGCAGATGCCTTGATGCCCTTGGGAGGAAGCTGTACTCTGCCGCCCTCAATTTTAGAATTGTGAATTACCAGGCCATTATGGGGGGCTATAGCTCTTTCTGTGTGAGAAATTCTCCCAGTATTTGGATAACCTCCCTGAAGAGCCCCATTCCTCAGCAAAGCTCATTCAGTTTGAGGCCATCAAGTTGTCCAAGCAAGAGATCGATGCTCGAAGGCACTCTACAGATGCATCAGCATGGTCTATGATGTCTGCCATCATTTTATGGAGGCATTCTTGGTCGCGTACCACTGCTGTCCCTTTGGACACTTGATGCAGGGTGGAGGACCTTCCATTTGAGGGCTCCTCACTCTCCTTGTCCTACACTGATGAGATCCTCACCACCATGAGGAAAAACAGACTGCTAAGTCCTTGGGTGTGCGCCCATCCACTGCTCCCCCATGCAAGTGCTATAGTCACCCCCAGCAGGGATTTAACACCCCCTTTTATCACAGGCAGAGGTTCCCACAGCAGCAGTACCCCCAGCTGTATCTTCCACATCATCAGTTTCAGTCACCTTCCTTTCAGAGAAGGAAGACAACTTCCAGACCAAGATCTGGAGGACATCAGTCCATATCAAAGGCTCAGGAACAACCTGCCCCAAAGTTCTGACTATCTGCCCAGCCTGTAGAGGGGGAGTTGTGTATTCTGAACAAGTTTACATGTTTCCTTCCTGAATGGAGAAAGATTTATTCTGATAATTGGGCCCTTAACGATTGTATAGGAGGGTTATTCTACAGAGTTCAAGTCTCTGCCCCCATGTTCTCTTGCCTCTTTGGCAGTAGATTACCCCTTCCCGGAGCTGGAATCATAACTTGATGACCTACTCCACAAGGAGGCAGTTCAGAGGGTCCCAGCAGGTGTTCAACAATGGAGTTTTTAATTCCTGTTTTTTCTTAGTAGACAAAAAGAACAGGGGCCACAGGCCCATCCTTGAGCTACGCAAGTGGAACAAGTTTTTGTATGTCACCAAGTTCAAAATGGTTTCCCTGACATCTGTTACAGAGTTTTTCATAATAAATTCTTGGTTGGTAGTTTTAGACCTCAAGCATGCCTATTTCCGTATTTCTGTCCACCCTTCACACCACAAATACCTGCATTTCTGATATGGCTCTGAGGTTTCTCAGTACTCTGCTCTTCCTTGTATGGCAATAGTTGTAGCCTATTTGAGAACTCAAAGCTGTATGGTTTTTCCATATTTGGACAACTGGCTTATTATGGCCCCATCCAGAGACCTCCTTATCCAACACATACATTGGATGCTTACCACCCACCAAAACCTGGGGTTAGTAGTTAATAGAAC